ACGCTCTCAGGTCTCTAAGAGCAACACTAATCTATCTTCCTTTTCAGGTTCCTCAAGAAACAACCTTGCACGGTGTGGGCAGCCGGGAAGTGATAACCACTCTCATCCCAGTCTGTCTGTCTGGTCTAAAAGTTAAACGTTCACGTGTGAGATCGAATCTCGTCGGTTGTGTTCGCGCGTTATGAGAATCATGAATGCGCACTGTAGGGATGAAACAGCCTTTCCAGTTCTTTTTCAGATTGCTAATGTTTGTCTAACATTGATCAGTTAGTTCAATGAAACTCAGCAATCTTCATAACTCATTGAGGAAAAATATGTGGATACATATATGTATATATATATGTCTACAAATAATCAAGACACCACCGATATGTAATACGAGAAATGTTTAATTTTCATGGAATGATTTACAGTACAATCAAACAATTTTTATTTACATACTAAATAGTATGTGAAGTGTGTGTGTGTGTGTGTGCATAGATGCAAACAGCTCTGTTTCTCTCGTTATGTGTGTGTGTGCGCGCGTTTGCGTGTATACATGCGAGTAAGTTCGATAATCGGGTGTGAATAAATTAAGTTACATTTATTCGAGACATTTGCTGGTTGGTTTTTCACACTTCACACCACAAATTAATCACATGTAGACAACAAATGAGAAAACACTGAAAACACTACATGGGGCCATTCCATCTTAGGATGCAACTCGTCAACAGAGTACCACATCCATAACTCTTCTTGAGGGGGTCGAACTTAGGACTTATACTACTCAGTCAGTTTACAACAACAACAACAACAACAGAGAACTTCGTACGCATGTACATACATCAGTTCAAGTTTCCATACTACATTAGGCGCACAGAGACGCAGTTGTCACTTCGAATCTCATAGTAGTAGCAGAGGTAGTAGAATTATGAGCTGTAATCGGAGAAGTACAGTCCGGTGAAATAAACTTAAAAAGAAAAAGATAAAGGTGATGAGGAATTCAGAAGATTATGATTTGAGAGAACACAATGAATGAATGAATGAATGTACCTGTGCCATTGCGAACGGTTTTGAGCCAGATCATTCAGTCTCTAACCATTGATTACTATCATCTTGCAAACCCCAACCAGGTAGTCGACACATACCAACATCAATCCATTAGTCAGTCATTTCATGGATTTATGCCATTTTTCGGTTTGATTTTGACCGATTTGGTATCGTGTACTGTTACTGGTATGAGAGCAGTTATCACTTCCCGGCTGCCCACACCGTGCAAGGTTGTATCTAGAGGAACCTAAAAAGGAAGATAGATTAGTGTTGGTCTTAGAGACCTGGGTGAGTGACCGCAGAACCCAAGGGACAACTGCTTGGAGCCGGTCACGCACGGCCTTTTTATTAAAGGTTTTTTGAGTATTAGCTCCGCTCTTGAAGGCCCTTAGTGGGCACCCTAACCCAAGGAGACGGAAATCCATGAAGTAGGGTGAGGTGTGGCATTTTTAGGGTCGAACTTTTCTAACCTCCTCCTTCCTCGTGAGAAGGCAGCATTGCTGCAGATGCTGGTTGTCCGAGGGAAACACCTTACTGCTGTCATTGCACCCCTCTGCAGTGGTCAGCAGTACGACTTCGCCCACAGGACTTGAGTAACTCCTTTTAGTCTGATCGTTCTCCAATCAACCTGCTTGGCATGGTAGAACCTTCAGGAACATATGTTCCAGCCAATATAGCTCGGTTGGGTCATGACTATAGTCAAGCCCGACCACCACGTCAAGGTAGCAGCTTCCGTCGGGTATCTGTCTGTGTCTGTCTATGTTTTGGTTTGGCCGCCATTAGTTTTCTTCCAATCCAAGATGTGCAATTCGTCCTATTTTCAGGATTCATCTTTCGTTGCATGTTGATGTTAACTCTTGGAATCGAACTCTAGCACTGTTCACCTTGAACGCTATCCCAAGGCCATATGAAGGCATTTCTAAAATGAGAGAGCAAGAGGCAACACTCTCTCTTCACTCTCCACCGTACCACGACATTTACGGGCATATAAATATGTATAACAAAATATAAGTGTTAACGACTAGAATCAATTCTACAACTTCTTACTTACTGTGTGATAGAATTTTCGCAATTCATCTTTTTATATCATTGAATGAATAAATTGTTATCAAATAGTGAATTTGTGTATAATTTTTTTTATTGATTTCTGAGACCTTTGCTGTTGTATTGCTCATTGCGTAATAGATATTCACTTACTCACTCACTTTTGTAAACCATGTGACTGCATCATGTGATGTTCAATCAGTGATGAGATTCAACTTTTCAAATATGATTTTGTTTTATTGTTCTCTACATATTTGTAATAAAACTCGAGTATATATATACATATATATATATATATATATATATTACATTAATGCTACAATGATAATCGTTTTTAACATACATAATGGGGTCCGCGAGATGATAATAATCGATGGTTAGATACCTTGAATGACATGGCTCAAAATCGTTTGCAATGGCGCCGGTGCATTTATTCTCTGTGTTCTCTCTGAAATCCTAATCTTTTGGATTCTTCAACAACTCTATTTTTGACATTCTAAACTTTTCTCACTGAATCATACTTCTTGAATAAATATCTTCTGATCCTAACCTCTCCGATTACTTCTAATATACCTTTACTACCTCTTCTACTATTGGATTTGAATTGACAATTATATCTCTGTGCTAATGTGCTATGGCAACATGAACTGATGTACCTACGTACGATGTTCTACGTTGCTGTATCTGACTGACTGAATAATGATTCTTACTAGTGACTAGCTTCGTAAGCGAAATTCTTGGAGTTCTAGTGAGAAGATGTGACCAATGGAGTTCATCCCTGTTTAGGTGTAGGCAGTTACTTACCGAAGACAATGAATGAGGTTACACAAAATCTTTTGACTGATCAAAGTTAGACATGAACACCGTTGAATACCAAAAGGCTCAGAGGTTAGGCGTTCACACTTGGGTCCCAAAGTTAGCAGGAATCATGGATGCGCACTTATTTACGTGGCTAACCAGAATTCTCTAACTAACTCTGCCCTAGGTCCTTAATATCCAGTTTTTTTTATAAAAGTCTACCTAGAACTCACTTCGAAAAGGTTCTAATTTTGGATTTTGTATGTTTCCGCTCATAAGCTGCTGAGTTGACCTTCAGCTACCATTTCTCACTCAGACAATCCTTGACTGTCATTGGTTGATGGGTTATTTTTGGTACGCTATTTTGTGGCTCTCCTCCCAAGGACATTTCTATCATGTGTAATAAATTAACTCGATTTGTGTGCTTGTCAACCTCATATTTTCTGGGTGCGTGTAGAATGCACACTTTCTACGGCTTTATCACAAGACTTTGTGATATAGTTAGCCGGGTCTGGGACAATCGGATCAGAATAGCTTATCATGTCACTGCTGCAGCATTTGTCTTCGCTCTCGTTTACCGACTAAAGTGAACTTGTAATATAGTTTCAAGCACATCCATCTTCCCACCAAATTTTGTGTTTTTTCATCGTTCATTTCACTTTCGGATTTCAATCTAAAAGGCTTGACCACCCTAAGCAACAATGCAAGCATGTTCGGGATGCGGTTTTCCTCCTCGAAACGCAAAATGTTGTTTCAAGACTGGGCTGCATCGGGACCTGCACTAGTGATAGGGAGTGAAGTAGTCGAACGTGTAGACCGCTTCACTTATCTGGGGAGTCTCATCAGTGCTGATGTCCTGGTGACTGACGAAATCTCAACACGGATACAGAAGGCTCGATTGGCTTTTGTCAACCTGCGTCACTTATGGCGTAGGCAAGACATCTGTTTGCTGAATAAAGGACGAGTGTAATATGCACTAGTTCGCTTCGTCTTATTTTATGGCTGTGAAACATGGCCAGTGAGAGTAGAAGATATTCGTAGGTTACTGGTTTTCGATCATAGATGTCTTAGAAGCATTGCTCATATATTGTGGGACACCCGAGTGAGCAACGCTGTTATTAGGAAACGGGTGCTAGGTAAGAGTGGCAGATCAATAGATGAAGTGGTGAAACTTCATCAGTTGAGGTGGTTGGGACATGTGTTGCGTATGCCTAACCACCGATTGCCTCGTCGAGCTTTGTTTTGTAGTGTAGGAGTAAGTTGGAACAAAGTTAGGGGCGGCCAAACCAAAACATGGCAGAAATCAATGAAGTCATTGAAAAGTGGACTACCTGTTTGGGATCGGCGAGATGATGATACTCGATGGTTAGAGACTTTGAATGACATGGGTCAAAATCGTTTGCAATGGTGCTGTTGCATTTATTCTTTGTGTTCTCTCAAATCCTGATCTTCTGGATTCTTCAACATCTCTAGTTTTGACTTTCTTAACTTATCTCACTGAATCATACTTCTTGAGTAATATCTTCTCATCCTAACCTCTTCGATTACTTCTAATTCCCTTACTACCTCTTCTACTATTGGATTTGAATTGACAATTACATCTGTGTGTGCTAATGTGTTGGTATGGCAACATGAACTGATTTACTTACGTACGAAGTTTTACGTTGCATCTGTCTGGCTGACTGACTGACTGACACTTTTTCACCCTGTCACTGAGTTTTCTTCATTGCCTGCTCGTATTTTTTTCAAAACATCTGGTGTTTTGTTGCTGTAGTAGTGAATCTAATATTTGTAACGTGACAGTTCACCTCATAAATTAAGATACTGATGATTAAACACAACGGTCCTCGGTTCGAATCCTGCTAGCAGTGGGAGTTAGGGATATGCGCCGCCACTGATGAATAGTCCCATACCAGGACGAATCCATATTCCAGTGCTTCTGGGCTTCGAATTTTGGTCGTACAATGATTTATTCTTGATTTTAGGTTAAATTAATGCTAAAAATTAGAAACTGAGTTTTGTTACACTCACAGCTCAAATTTTGTCTTGTTCTATTATTATTATTATTATTATTATTATTATTATTGCCAATATTATCAATAATGTTCTGTCTGTTTTCTTTATGAACAGAATGATGAACGTTGTAGTGCAGTGACTACTGACGCAGTTAGAAATAGTTCAATGTTACTGTTGCATCCAACTACAACCACTAACACCACCCCTATCCTCACCATCAGCACCACCACTAATCATCATCATCGTGGTGACAACCACCGGAATCATTCAAGTCCTAACCGTGTCTGTTCATCGCCTACTCAATCATGTACACATCCATTGTCTGTATTCACTGATTTCTCCAATTCAACTACTGCTACTACTACTACTACTAATCATATTAACAACAATACTACTTGTAAAAATAATGGAAGTAGTATTGCAAGTTCGAGTGCGATGATAAATACTACTGAAAACTTGATAACAGCTACAACAACAACAACACCGACAACATCAACTCATAATTCATATACACCAAACGACACGATCAATTCAAATCTATCAATGACACAGAATCAATCTGAAACCCCACCTACTATACCGGCTAATAATGATGAATTGACAGTTTGCAACATGTCAGCAAACAATCATTACATTGATCCTACTGGAACTTGGGCGAATTCTCATTCCCCTACCTCTTGTTGTTCTTCCCGACCATCATCATCATCGCCGTTGCTACCACCAGCATTGACGATCACAGGAATAACAACCACACCCAACAGCATGACCACCCCAACAACAGCCGTGGTAGCTACATCACAGCTAACATTGAATAGTTGCTCTTGCACATTGCCCTCCTCCTTCAACTCGTCAACATCATTATCACCATCTATACAACCGTCAGTACAATCGTCATTGATGACGCCGTCATCAACTACTATCACTACTACTACTACCGTTTCACCTCCTGTCTCCTCTTCCCCCTGCTCCTGTTCATGCTGCTCCTCCTCATCTACGACAACATTCATTCCATCTAGTCAATTTAGTAATGTGACATCGCTGACTTCCACTAGTTCTACTACTACTACCACTGCTACTACTAACTGTCCAATCATTAAACCGGAACGACGATGTACCGGTGTGAATACTTTGTTGAATAATTCAAAAGCAACATTAACTGAACCAGATTTATTGGGACCATGTGAACCGGGTACAACAATTTGTTTAAATGGTATTGTATGGTTGGAGACAACAACTGGTTAGTGTTGGGTGGATTTTTTTTTCCATTCATTATTACTATTCATGAATTGTTTGAGTGGGTTAGGATCGGTCTGAGCTGCTTAAAAATTGTGAAGTAGGCGATTTTAGTAGATAGATAGATAGTCAGTCAGTCAGTCAGATGCAATGTAGAACTTCGTACATGAGAGTACATCAGTTCATGTTGCCATACCAACACATTAGCACACACAGATGTAATTGTCAATTCAAATCCAATAACAGAAGAGGTAGTAAAGGTATTAGAAGTAATCGGAGAGGTTAGGATTAGAAGATATTATTCAAGAAGTATGATTCAGTGAGAAAAGTTTAGAAAGACAAAACTAGAGGTGTTGAAGAATCCAGAAAATTAGGATTTGAGAGAGAACATAAAGAATAAATGCGCTGGCGCCATTGCAAACGGTTTTGAGCCATGTCATTCAGGCTGTCTAACCATCGATTATTATCATCTCGCGGACCCCAACCAGGTAGTCAACACCTAGCGACATGACTCAGTCCACTTGTCAGTGACTTCATGGATTTGTGCCATGTTTTGGTTTGGCTGCCCCTAACTTTCTTCCAACCTATTCTTACACTACAAAACAAAGCTCGTTGAGGCAGTCGGTGGTTAGGCATACGCAACACATGTTCCAACCACCCCAGCTGATGAAGTTTCATTACTTCATCTATTGATCTGCCATTCAATAGATAGATAGATAGATAGATAGCTACTTACTGGTTGAGCCTTTCAATCAAAAGTCTTGTTCGTAATACAGTGAGTGGGACGACAGCGTTAGAAGATTTGGTCTTATGGTAGCCATTTTTTTCATGGAGATCAAAGAGTTGTCATATGCACCATTGGTTTGGAATTAAGGTTATTCAATTTCTCCAAAGGTCTCGTGACTTATTCAGTGTTATGCGCTGTTATGGGTATGCAGGTGGATGTTACTTCCCGGATGCCCACATCGTGGAAAGTGCTTCTTGATGAATCTGAAAAGGAAATTGGATTAAAGAGCTAGGAGCGTGACCACAGAACCCGAAAGACAATTGTTTGAGACTGGTTATGTACTGCCTTTGTAAAGTGTCAGATCCGCTATTCAAGCGACCTTACCGATGCAGACGAAAATCGGTGGAATGTGACAGTTTTAGGGTCGATCTTTTCTAACCTCTTCCTTCTTTGTGAGAAGGCAGCATCGCTACAGGTGTCAGTTTTCTGAGGGAAGCACCTTCCTGCTCTCATTACACCCATTTTCATTTAATAGTACAATTTCGCCCTCAGACCTCAAGTTGCTGCTTTCAGTCATACCGTTCTCCAGTCGACCTGCCTGGCATCGGTTGTGTCATCAGGATCGACAAGCGCAATCACCACGTCAAGGTAGCAACTACTTTTGGGACTGCCCTAAGTACATCCCTCGTATTCACCCACCTGGTTAAAGTACCAATTGGATATTAACATTTCATAAATAACAGTTGTGCCAGGACAAGTCAGTGTGTAGAACTTACTTGTCAGTGGTTATATACACATATCCATGTGAAATCATATGGAGACATGGTTTTCAAGAGAACCAGACACTATCCAAGTATTAACAGTACAAACTAAAACAGTACTACCTAATCCTATGGCATCCTGGTAGAGCTCAACCGTAATGCTGTGGATTGAATGAAATCAGCCATAAGCAACATTGACTGCCAGATCAGTAGTAGTGGTCTAAAGGTTATATTTGTCCACATACAAGATGGTAGGTTGGATTCCCTTAAACACAGGAGTTCTGGATACTCACTGTGAATCACAGTCTCATCGTACTAGAACACAGTAGCCATCCGAATAAGGTTTGCATCACTTGTTACATTTACGGAGTATTTACTTTTTTTACCTGCTAAATTAATTAATTTTATTCATATTTTGTCCATAAATGATGTCGTCATTATTTCGCAAATAATTTAGTGTACTTGTCTTTTTTTTTAATTTGATTAATCATTTCATAATCAAATGTAACTAGTCAGCTGATCTTTGAAGGTGTTTGTGTATGTGTGTGTCCGTGTGTCTATGTGTGTGTGTGTACAATACTACACATTTCAAGTAGAGAGTGTGTTCATTCTACACCTAACTCTAACTAGGGTACACGAGTGAGAGACAGAAAAACAGATGGTTGGATGGATGGATGAATAGACAGATACAAAGATAGATAGATAGATAGACAGACACGATAGAATTACAGACAGTCAGTGGGTACATTGCGTAATAATGTAGTTTTTGTATTGAATAAATAAAAATGACACGAAATGAAAAGTCAAAATAGACAGAAACTACAAAAAAAAATATTTTTTATGAGATGGTAGAGAAAAAAATTTGTAGCTCAGGTGGATGACGATTGTGGGGGGGGGTTTCGTTCTCTGAGCTGGTGATGTTTTGGCTGAACAACAAACTTCAGGTAGAAGAAGTGAAGTATGTGACTTTCTCCATGTATGAACTTGTAACTTGTAGCGTCGACGTCGATACTTGTTGGTAGAATATACCGACGAAGACATTCATGGAGAAAGTAGATTTGTTCTGAAATGGAAGTTAGGCTTTTGACAAAATTCTCCCATTTTCAAACAACGAGCAGAGTGTCATGCTCATATGATTTTGAGATGGTGTCGACAGTTTGCAGCTCAGGCGAGTGACGACTGTGGGGGGAGTTTCGTTCTCTGAGTTGGTGATGTTTTGGTTGTGAATTTCCACTAGAGAACAGTCAGTCAGTCAGATGAAACGTAGAACATCGTACGTAAGTACATCAGTTTATGTCGCCATAACACATCAGCACAGAGATATAATTGTCAATTCAAATCCAATAGAGTAGTAGAGGCAGTAAAGGTATGAGAAGTAATCGGAGAGATTAGGATTAGAAGATATTATTCAAGAAGTATGATTCAGTGAGAAAAATTTAGAAAGTCAAAACTAGAGTTGTTGAAGAATCCAGAAGATTAGGATTTGAGAGAACATAGAGAATAAATGCACCGGCGCCATTCCGAACGATTTTGACCCATGTCATTCAAGGTCTCTAACCATCGATTATTATCAACTCGCGGACCCCAACCAGGTAGTCGACAACTACCGACATGACTAAGTCCACTTGTCAATGACTTCATGGATTTGTGCCATGTTTTGGTTTGGCCGCCCCTAACTTTGTTCCAACCTATTCCTACACTACAAAACAAAGCTCGACGAGGCAGTCGGTGGTTAGGCATACACAGCACCACTTGAGAACAAGTCTACTTTCTCTATGAAGGTCTCCGTCAGCAACATGCTCTGCCAACAAGTGTCAGATAAGGTCAATAATAACCAGTCAAGATCGAGATTAACAGAACAATCTACGAGTCATGATACGTAGAAAAATTCGAATACTTCACTTTTCTCTCGTTGAAGTTTGTGCTGATGATGTTGTTGTGTTCAGTAGAAGAACAATCAAAGCTTCACAACCAAAAAACATCATCAGCTCAGGCAATTTACAATATACTTACAAACTAGTCTGAATGAAGTGGGAATGTTTATTTTCACCTCAAACCTACATATTGAAAGGCTTACTTAGAGAAAGCACAGTGAATGAGGCATAGGCCACCGACCACCATTCTTCAACCTACTTTTCCAGTTCTATCCAACTGCTGTTCATTGCTGTTCTCTTGCTTGTCTTCAATTTTCGACGTAATGTGTTTTTTGGCCTTCCACCACTACTCCTTTACCCTTCAGGATTCCTAATGAGGGCGCAGGATTTTTGAGCAACCTTACCCATTGTCTTCGGTAGTTACTGTCTACACTCGATAGAGTCGAACACTGGTCACTGTTAGTCAATTTATGATATGGCTGAAAGGCTGTTCGTTGGATCCTACCGGCTCTTTGGTTTAAAAGTTAGGTATTCGCGCGCAAGACTGAAGGTCATGGGTTCGAGTCCCGCTAATAGCAGTAGTCATGGACGCTCACTGCTAATGAGTCCTTTACTGGTACTGGTCTAAAACTTGGGCGTTCGTGCACAAGACTGAAGGTCCTGGGTTCGAGTCCCGCTAATAGCAGGAGTCGTGCGTGCGGACTGCCACTGATGAATCTCATACACCAAGACGTAACTACCGTCTTTCGGTGATTCCACAGGTGATTGCCTAGGAATCATTGATTCATGATTTCAGTAGAAAAAAAATTTAAATTGGTTCATCATTCCCGATATCATCATAGTAACTGACAATGTGAATCTGTTGATTGACCTCGATTTTTATATTCATCGCTCAAAATTGGTAATTATTTTTCGGTTGGTTAGTTATATTAAGTGTAGATTGTTTGAATTAGAATTACGAAATATTTTTTAAAAATTAAAGTTGATTATGTGACTGAATAAAATGTGCTTATATTGGAAATTGTCAGATTTATGATTGTGGAGAAATTGGAGGACAGTAAAATCTGTGCGATATCGATTTTTAATTGAAATGATCAGCTGATTAGTTAGAGGAGGGGCCAAGCTAAAAATAGGGGACAAATCCATGAAATCGCTGACAAGTGAACTGAGTCATGTTAGTAGGTGAACACTACCTGGTTGTAGTTCATGAGATCTTAGTAACCGATGGTTAGATAGGGAGGGAGTGAAGCAGTTGAGCGTGTAGACTGCTTCACTGATCTAGGCAGTCTCATCAGTGCCAATGGCCTGGTGACTGATGAAATCTCAGCACGGATACAGAAGGCCCGGTTGGCTTTCGCCAATTTGCGTCACTTTTCGCGCAGGCGAGATATCCGTTTGCTGAATAAAGGACGAGTGTACTGTGCAGTAGTTTGCTCCGTCCTACTTTATGGCTGTGAAACATGGCCAGTGAGAGTAGAAGATTTTCGTAAGTTATACTGGTTTTCGATCATAGGTGTCTTCGAAGCATTGCTCGTATATCCCGGGACACTCGAGTGAGCAATTCTGTTATTAGGAAACGAGTACTAGGTAAGGATGGTAGATCAATAGATGAAGTAATGAGACTTCATCAGTTGAGGTGGTTGGGACATGTGCTACGTACGCCTAACCACCGACTGCCTCGACGAGCTATTTTTTGTGGTGTGGGAGTAGGTTGGAAGAAATCTAGGGGTGGCCAGACCAAAACATGGCAGAAATGCATGAAGTCACTGACAAGTGGACTGAGTCATGTTGGTAGATGTAGACTACTTGGTTGGGGTCCGCGAGATAATAGTAATCGATGGTTAGAGACTTTGAATAATATGACCCAAAATCGTTTGTAATGGCGCATATGCACCCATTCGGAAGATGTGATTTGAAAAGTACAATCTAGTTACATAAATTTAAAAAGAGATGGATAAAGGTGATGAGAAATTCATAAGTTTAGAATTAAAAAGTACACAAAGAGTTAGAATTTCATAGAACACAATGTGTGGATACACCTGCGCCATCGCAAACGATTTTGAGCCATGTCGTTCAAGGTCTCTAACCATTGGTGACTTTCGTCTCGCGGACCCCAACCAGATAGCCTAAATCTACCAGCATGACTCAGTCCACTTGTCAATGACTTCATGGATTTCTGCCATGTTTTGGTTTGGCCGCCCCTAACTTTCTTCCAACCTACTCCTACATCACAAAACAAAGCTCGTCGAGGCAGTCGGTGGTTAGGCATACGCAGCACATGTACCAACCACCTCAACTGATGAAGTTTCAATACTTCATCTATTGATTTGCCATCCTTACCTAGAACTCGTTTCCTAACGATAGCATTGCTTATACGGTTGTCCCATATAGTAGGACAGAGCGAACTGTAATCACCAACTTCTCATCATTGCAATTTTCTGACAAAGCTAATCATCACATTTGTGTATACATATTTTTTTTCACAGTTTTCATTGTCTTCTTAATTAAAAAATCAATTCCATATCATTGTCTATGATTTGGATAATAAGAAATTATAATTTCTTTATGAAAAAAACTTATCAAATTATTTTTAACTCAATATAAATGATATTCTTTCACAAATTTCTTTGTTCTTCCAGTGTCAATTCTTTAATTTTTTTTCAAAACAAACACACACACGCACACACAGAGACACACACGAATTAATTTTGACAGCATGCACAACAATTAATGACAAACAGAACAGAAAAACAAACAAACAAACGGAACCCATTAATTGGTCTGTTATTGATTATTTTCCCCAATGACAATCATTTACATGTGTGTATGTCTATCTGGTGTGTGTATGTATAAGTGTGTGTGTGTGTGAATAGGATAACACATATTTTATAGACATACATACATACATATACAGGTCGACATACAGACATACTATTTAATAACAGTGATGTGAGAAAATCTCGCGTGAATAGACAAACACACACACAATATCATACTTTTTTGGTGTACAAACACACATAAGTGTGTTTGTGTTTGTACATCTATAATGAATTCTGTTTTGTTAAAAATAATTCAACGAGATTTGCTGTATACAATCATTGACGTACATGCGCATGATTGAGTTATTTTAATTGTAGTACAAAGTAAATTTCAACTTGTTGATTACGTCATAAATGAAACTAATCAATGAAATAAAAATAAATTAGAATAACATTTTTTATAATAATGAAAAGTAATTAATGCCAACTGTGTTTGGGTGTGAAGTAGTAGTTGCTCACTTGATGACAATGAGTGAATGAGGTTGTGTGAATTGATACTGACATTAGATATTAACAGAGTTAGATACTGGGCTCAGTGGGTCAATTAATGTTATTGCATTTTGTAGTATTATGGAGATCGGTGCACTTTACACATTGAAATTATGAATGAATCATTGTTAGACTACCATTAGAAACCTGGATATAGTGGATGGACGTTTCGTCCTGGTTAAGGACTCATCAATGGCAGTGCGCCACCACAACTGCTTATAATCGCATGTCGTTCAATGTCTCCAACTATTGGTGACTTTCGTCTCGCGGACCCCAACCAGGTAGTCGACAATTACTGACATGACTCAGTCCACTAGTCAGTGAATTCATGGATTTGTGCCATGTTTTGATCTGGCCGCCCCTAGCTTTCTTCCAACCTATTCTTATTTCATAAAACATTGCTCGTCGAGGCAGTCAGTGGTTTGGCATAGGTAAAACACCACCTCAACTGATGAAGTTTCAATACTTCATCTATTGACCTTCCGAGTCTTCTATTCACGAGCTTTAGTTCGGCGTCTAAGTATTATCGAGGCCAACAGTTTAGAAACTGTATTGGTTAGACTGGTTCCCCTGTGAATTGTCACAAGAAGACTTGTGTCCTTTCTTATAAATTTGGACAATCAGGGATTGAGACCAGTCGGATGGGATTGTGTTCAGTTCCCAAATTCTACCTAAGATCTCAGTCAAACTAGCTGCTAAAACTGGACCACCATCCTTAAAAATCTCTGGGGTAAGATTATCAGGACCCGCTGCTCTCCCTCACTTCATAGTTGCTATCTTTCTCTCAACTTCTTAAAGAGTCGAGTGACTTACATAGATTTGCTATTCAGGATGATTGGAGATTGTGGGCAGTCGAAGAGTGGCTGAAGGCAGGTTGAACTGATCCCTGAACTGTTCCGCCCATCGATCCAATCTCCGTGATTGCGAATGAATCACAAGCCCATCCTTTTCTGAGATAGTATCGCTAACAAATGGATTTATAATACCGGTTTCCTTGATAAGTCGGAATAACTGTCTACCATTACCTATAGCCCCACTGGCTTTTCCATCGCTCTCGCTTTCGCTACCCACCACTGTTCACGATCACTGCGTAGACTTTTAATCACCCCGCGCTTAAACTGTCTTCTCTCTTCGTCATGTTCAAAGCCAGGTGGGATGAATTTTATCTGGTATGGGTTACTCTCAATTATCCAATACAATGTATTCATTAGTTTGTGTATAAACCCTTTGGCTTTAAGGATTTCAAATGAAGCAGTTCAGTGAATTGCTTACTGTGTGTGTTCTAGCACTCTTCCTGCGTCTGTTTTTAATCCCAGTTTCTTTTTCAGCTGATTAGGGCATATTCTAAAAACAAACAACTCAAGTTTCTTTTATGTGTGTTTGCATTGAGAAGATTGAGGCAGGCGAGGAAGATTGTATTGTGTAAATTTACACTCTGAGTCAATTAAAAATGAAAACATTACATTGATTGAACACTCTATTTGCACATCATCTTTGAGTCGTGACTTCCAACGCTCCATCCTTCGTCTTCAATTCCTGTTGTTGCTTCCTTTCCTTCCTGTTGGTACTACTCCATTTGCTTTCCGTTTTCCTTTTCTGACCGTGAGACTTCTTCTTTCACATCCATTCTTATACTACTACTTATATCGTTCGTATAAGTAGCACACACCACGCAGCATGAGCGTATGTGAAGTAAACATATTTTTTTGGAAAAAAAGTATATATTTACTGGTCTTTCTGCATTTTTCTTTACTTTTTTTTTTCATTTTGTCAAGGTGTATTAGTTGTCAATGTAACATGGCGAGGTCGAACTTATATTGGTACTTTACTCGATGCAACGCAACATGATTTTGCACCACCCTGGTAAGTTGAAATTCAATATGGTTGTGTTTTATTTTGATTCATGATTTTATAATTGGCAGTGGGGGGGTGAAGGGGTGGGGTCGTTGTTGTTGTTCATCTTAACTCACTGTATTAAACACTTGGCAGTTAAATGGTGATGTAGTGAACTAGTGAAGTAGTTGGGCGTGTTGACCACTTCACTTATCTGGGGAGTATTATCTGTGCCGATGTCCTGGTGTGTGACGAAATCTCAACGCGGATACAGAAAGCTCAATTAGCTTTTGCCAATTTCCATCATTTATGGCACAGGCGAGATATTCGTTTGCTAATCAAAGTTCTAGTATACTGCACAATAGTTCGCTCCGTTCTCCTTTATGGATGCGAAACATGGCCGGTAAGAGTAGAAGATATTCGTAGGTTACTAGAGTATTCGATCATGGATGTCTTAGAAGCATTGCTCGTGTATCATGGGACACCCGAGTGAGCAGTGCTATCGTTAGGAAACGAGTACTAGGTAAGGATGGCAGATCAATAGATGAAGTGGTGAAACTTCATCAGTTGACGTGGTTGGGATATGTGTCACGAATACCAGACCACCGACTGCCTCGACGAACTTTGTTTCGTGGTGTAGAAGTAGATTGGAAGAAAGCTAGGGTTGGTCAGACCAAAACATGGCAGAAATGCATGAAGTCACTGACAAGTGGACTGAGTTATGGTCTTAGATGTGGACTACTAGGTTGGAGTCCGCCAGACAAACGTAACCGGTGATTAGAGACTTCAAACTTTGATCTTTTCTACTACCATTGCTACTATGAGATTGATAACTCCATCTTTATGTGTGCTCATGTGGTATGACAACTTGAACCGATGTACGTACGTACCAAGTTCAGCGTTGTAGCTAACTAACTAACTAACTTGACTAAACCTGTATTCCCACTCTGTACAGTGTGAGAGAGAAAAATTATTTTTACTGATTGACATATTGATTTGACACATTTGATTTGTGGTCATTTTCTATGTTTTAACCAAAAAAATCAATTTTTTTCACCCCCCCCCCAAAAAAAATTTTCTACAGTCCACGAGATTATATACCTCCATTTAAATCATCTATACGATCAAGTAATCGTACAAAACGTCGAACCGGTAGTGTTGGAACAAATTATAAAACAAATTTAACTAATCATCTTACTTCTTCTACTACTACTACAACCGCCACTACTACTTCCACGAACTCGAATCCGACGACGGCCGCGACCACCACAACAACAACGGATTGTAATTGGAAATCGACTCCTACTACCACTGGTCGACATCATCGATTACGTGGTCGAGTTGTAAATCCACCTGTAGTTAGTACTACTAACGGCACTACTACTACTAATACTACTAACAATAATAGTATTAGTAGTAGTAGTGTTGATATCATTTCTACAACAATGCATCAAAGTTTAACTAAACTACCTGATCCAGTGACAAAAACAGCAACAACAATTATTCCAGAAGAATTAGATTCCATTCAACCATGTTTGTCACATGTATCTGACGAAGAACAATCAACACAAAACAACAGCAACAATAAGAGAAAATCTAAGTTAGATTATAAAAATTGTAAATTATTTCATGGTAATCATAGTAATAGTACATCGTCAAGTGATTGTCCATCAGAAATACTGCCGGATTTAGAGAAATCATGTGAAATTGATGAATATCCTGGGAAAACTGATTCACCGCTTGCAGCTCCAAATACTACTACTACTACTACTGATAACACTATTATAAGTAGTAATTTTGAAGAAAATGATGAATTGCATGAAACATTTCCAATTGGTTGTCCAATAAACGGTTGTAATAAACGTTTTTCACATGTTCTCGCTTTACGTTTTCATTTGAATCATACATCACATTGTAATTTATTGAATTCATCGAAACAACATGTTCCTGCAAGTTTAAATGGGAAGAAACGAGATACTACTGATAAAAGTGTTAGTGGTAGTAGTACTATTGGTAGTTCCCTATCACCATCACTGCCAACTAATCTACCACTCTCTGATTCATCGCCTACAACAGTCATCACAACAACACCGACAGCAACATCACCGTCATTCTCATTACTACTACTACCACCACATCAATCAGTAGTGAAACAAGAATCCAGTATGGACGATGTGATGACACATCAACCGATTCCTCTTCCTACTCCTACTCCTACACCTACACAACAATCCATGTTCGAGTGTTATCAACCGAAAATCTCTATACCATCAAATCATCATCATCATCATTTCACTGATCGATTATGTCACAAGATCGAACAAAAGTTACTGCCCGCCAACGATTACACAATCAGCCATGATAATTGCAGTAACAATATGAAAACACTGACACATCATGCAACACATAAACATTATGGTAGTAAGAAACGTTTATGTAATAACAATCATCATAATACTACACCTTTGGATGTGACTTGTGTGAATACTAATACCAATCATAATGTACGTACAGTGACAGCGCATACAGTTTCAGTGCCTCATGGTTCAACATTGGACATGGTAGGTAGTAATTCAAATTCTCGGTCTAATCCGTCAACACCACAACAACACCAGCAACAGCAGAATCATTCTATTCATCATGTGAATTCATTGCCTTATTCAAAACGTACCACTGCAACCACCTGTTCATCGTCATTCAGTCCACGTGATTACACTAGTAATAGTAGTGGTGCTAGTAGTGGAGGTAAACATAAGGCGGGTGGACAACAGGTTTTCAATAAATCAACCAATCAAAATATAAAAATCGATAATAATAGTAACAATAATAGTAATTGTACAGCAATGAATTATTCTCGTCATAGTGCTAGTGAATTGACCAATGATGATCTGATCCAAATGGCCATGTGTCATGGTTTATCCAATACTACTAGTAGTAGTAACAGTAGTATGAGTAGTAGTGGTACATTGTCGAAACTAAAAAATTCCCCAATGAATCCACATGAATACAATCCAACCTCATCATCAACATCATCATCATTAATGTTTCACAATGCATGGCAATTTCCATTACCGACATCGTTGTCGTTGTCGTCGGCTGCGGCGGCCGCCGCCGCCTACACAACACAATCGATCCCATTCACATTCAATGAACAGAACAACAATAGTCATAAAGAAGAAGAGGACTCATTGAAAGCGTCAGCATACTCCACAACTCTGCCGACAATGATGCCTCCTAATTCTGCGATGAATGTTACCAGTAATAATCAGCATCAGCATCAACATCTTATGCATGAGATGTCGACTATGCTGCCGTCGATATTTCACGATGCTAAACAGTTTATCCCGCCTAATTATCATCATCAGCAACATCAACAGCAGCCACAGCAGCAGCATCATAATTTACTGAATACAACTACAAATCAGGGCACTGAACTTAGTACTGCTGTTATCAATACTACTCACAGTACTACTACAACAACTACTACTACTACTACCAATAACAGTAGTAATAGTAATATGTATTATGGTAGTGGTATGCCAGACTTTCTAGTTGCTGCTTTAAACACACTCACATCGAATAATCCAACATATTCATGTTTACCAGAGATTTTTAAATCGTATTTTCATCAACAACAGCAACAACATGCCTTGTTAAATACTACTAATACTACTACTAATAGTAGTAGTAGTAATCATTCAATCAATAAAACAATGAATTTATCACCCCCTTCAACAATGCCGACATTATCCGTATCAGCAGCGATGATAGATGGAGATGATGAGAGTACAATGAATGCGCATCGATTGTTGATGAGTAATTCACAGCTATTACATAATAATAATAATAATAATTTTGTAAATATGCCAAATTTCGTATCATCTCATACTACTAATAGTAGTAATAGTACTGGTAATTCAATTATCAATTCAGAAAGATTTGATCCATTGAAATTATCTGCAGGTAAGTATTATTGAAAGTGTATTATCATTATTAGTGTGATGAAAGTATTTGAGTAATATTTGTACTTACTTACTTACTTACTTACGCATGTCCCGACGATAGCTGAGCCGATTGGCTTTTTGCTAACACCTGCGTCACTTATGGCGTAGGCAAGATATTCGTTTGCTAATCAAAGGATGAATCTACTGTGGAGTAGTTCACTCCGTTCTACTAAATGGATGCGAAACATGGCCAGTGAGAGTAGAGCATATTCGTAGGCTACTGGTATTCGATCATAGGTGTCTTCGAAGCATTGCTCGTATTAGGGGCGGCCAAACCAAAACGCGGCAGAAATCCATGAAGTCACTGACAAGTGGACTGAGTCATGTAGGTAGGTATCGACTACCTGGTTTGAGTCCGCTAGACGATAGTCACCGATGGTTAGAGACCTTTGATGACATGGTTGAGAGCCATTTGCGATGATGCAGATGCATCCACTCTTTGTGTTCCACCAAATTCTAATCTTCAGAATTCCTCATCTCTATCTTTCTCTTTCTAAATTTATCTGACTGAATTATACTTTTCGAATGATATCTTTGCTCGCTAATCTTCTCCATTACTGCTAATACTTCTACTATCGCTATCACTCTTGCATTTGAACTGATGAGGTACAGTAACTTAAACTGATGTACGTACGTACGAAGTTCTACGTTGTAGCTGTCTGACTGACTACTTCAGCATGTTACCCCTAATGGAGCATACGTTGTCGACGACCAGCGAATCATTTTTTTTTACGGTCAGCATTTTTTTTAGTGAGTTGGATTTCTACAGAATAGGTTCGCTAACTCCATACCTGAGCCTCCTTATTTTTTGTTGGCTTGGGACCGACAGTAACAGTAGAAGGGCTACAGACAGAGTAAGCAATATGTAATAAACATGTTTTATTTAATGTCTATATCTGAATTATATGTGTAGAAGAATCGGTTGTAAAGTAGTAGCAAACGTTAAAACTAGTTTAGTGTGTGTACTTTTATTATGCTGAGCTCACAGCGTTTTTTGCAAGCCTTCGGAAAAAAAATAATTAATCCCATTCTGCTCGAGTTACTACTACTATACGCACATCTTTTGACCTTGTGAGCTATTCGCTTTTATTCAAGTATGCGCGTGTGTGTTCACAGGAATTGTAGTGAACGAGAACACAGGTGGGGCAACCGAAATTGTATTTAACGAAAATTACAGAGTTACTCAGTAAAATTGGAAAACCATATCGTAAATTGTTCATTTGCAAAATATCAGTCCATCATCATATCGAACTGGACTGTTCCTGTTGCAAAAAACATCAATCCATTGTCACTACTATTCATGCGTTTCCTACAAATTCCATTGTGTTCTTCTAACTCTTCCTTTCTTGATCTTCCCCCATCTTCTGCTACCAGACATTATGTTGACACTCACGTCATATACTACTACTTATAAGTAGCTCACACCACAGAATGAGAATGGTGGTGATGGACAAGTTTTATTGAAATCATGAATTCACTATTGTTACATGAATATTGAAAGCCTGGAAGTACTACTAGACATCCATTTTGTACCTAGTATGCGATTCGTCAGCAGTGAGTATCAACGACTCCTGCTACTCGCAGGATTCGAACCAAGGACATTCGGTCTTAACGGCGAACGCATAATCTCTGAATCACTGAGTTGGCATCCAATGGTGTTAATGTCTGACTCTGACCAGTCGAATGATTTTGTACAACCTCACCGATTGTTTTCGATAACTGTCGAAAACAGACAGACAGATAGAACGCAGAACTTCGTACGTAAGTACATTAGTTCAGGTTGCCATGCCCCATCAGTACAGAGACGCAACTGTCAATTCAAATCCAACAGTGATAGCAATAATAGAAGTATTAGCAGTAATGAAGAAGATTAGCGAGCAAAGATATGATTCGAAAAGTATAATTCAGTAAGATAAATTTAGAAGGAGAAAGATAGAGATGATGAGGAATGCAGAAGGTTAGAATTTCATAGAACACAAAGAGCGGATGCATCTGCACCATTGCAAACGATTCTAAGTCATGTCGTTCAAGGTCTCTAACCATCGGTGACTTTCGTCTCGCGGACCCTAACCAGGTAGCCTACATCTACCAACATAACTCAGTTCACCTGTCAGTGACTTCATGGATTTGTGCCATGTTTTGGTTTGGCCGCACCTAGACAGGGTTGAACTCCATTGGCGCAAGTGCATTCATTCTTTGTGCTCTCTCAAATCCTAATCTTCTGGATTCGTCAGCACCTCTACCTTTGTCTTTCTAACCTTATCTCACTGAATTATACTTCTTGAATAATATCTTCAAACCCTAGTCTTCTTCCTTACCATTAATACCTCAACTGTCGCTATCATTATGGGGTTTGGTTTAACATTTGCGTCTCTGTGGTAATGTGGTATGGCAACATGAACTTATGTACTTACGTACGAAGTTCTACGTTGCAACTGACTGGTTGACTGACCTAAGTATTGGTCGTGTTTCCTGGGACAACCGAGTAAGCAACGCTGCCACTAGGAAACGAGTTTTAGGTAAGGGTGGCAGATCAATAGATGAAGTATTGAAACTTCATCACTGGAGGTGGTTGGGATATGAGTTTCGAATGCAAAACCACCAACTGCCTGGACGAGCTTTGTTTTGTAGTGTAGGAGTAGGTTGGAAGAAAGTTAGAGGAGTCCAGACCAAAACATGGCACAAATCCATGAAGTCACTGACAAGTGAACTGAATCATGTTGGTAGATGTCGACTACCTGGTTGAGGTCCGCGATATGATAACTATCGATGGTTAGATACCCTGAATGACATGGCTCAAAACCATGCGCAATGGCGCCGGGGCATTCATTCTTTGTATTCTATCAAATCCTAATCTTCTGGATTCTTCAACATTTGTCTCTAAACTTATCTCACTGAATTATACATCTTGAATAATATCTTCAAATCCTCACCTCTCCGATTACTTCTAATGCCTTTAATGCCTCTTCTACAATTGGATTTGAATTGACAATTATATGTCTGTGCTGATGTGGTATGGCAACATGAACTGATGTACTTACGTACAAAGTTCTACATTGCATCTGACTGGCTGACTGATCCATTCTTTTCGGTAAGTAATTGCTGAAACCAGACAGGGTTGAACTCCATTGGTCACATCGTCTCATTCAAATTTGGAGAATTTCTTCATGAAGTTAATAGTCACTAGTGAGTAGTATATTGTACAATTTTTGTATGATACATTCATTACTGAAATCATCAATCAATTTATTATTGATTTGCGTTTTTATTCTTCTTCTACCATTTCCCTATTCGTTCCTTATCTCTTTTAGCTTATTTGATGCAGTACACAAATCCTACATCATCCAGTTCATCAGTTCCGTCAACGTTTGGCAATAGTTTAATACCATAAAATGAGACAATCAACCAGTCGATCGATCGATCGATCGTTAATTGTGTCTCCTTTCCATTTCCTGTTCTCTGTCTGTCTCTCTCTCACTCTCACTCTCTGGATTATTCCACATCACATCAAATTTTTTGTCTTTCATGAAGAAGAAAAAAAGGAACAACTAATAAACGATAATAATTTTGTTTAATTTGTTTAAATGAATTGATGGCGCCAAATGGGGCAAGAATGATCAATAATAATAATAATAATAATAATTTCTGCACAGTTTGTGTGTTATACCAATTGTATGTCTGTCTGTCTATCTATCTATCTATCTATGCATGTGGTGTGTCTACCACTGTTAATTTGTATGTCTTTCTATCGATTTCACTGCAATTAGACCGCACCACCCACCATCAGTTTTCACTTACAAAAAAAAATAATGTAGTGACAACCAGTTTACATATCCGTTTTCTATTTCCTCTTCTCGGACCTGTTACATCACACTGACACACACACACACACAGTTCTTCGTTGACCTTGACACATTGTAATAATGCATAGGGTTATTTATTTTCCTTCTTATATTTGAATAATAATATTGTAGTTAACTATTGAAAAAAATTCATTAGTAGTATATACATTGTTGTGCCAAGTTTTATTGTACAATAATAATTATGATAATAAATATACAAGCCTATTTTCAAGTGTTCAATATTCAATCGTGTCTCTTCCCAGTATATGGATCGATCGATTGATTGATTGATCGATCTATGTAATGAATCAATCTGGGTAAAATTTCTCTGTTTCTCTCACTCACTCTCAAGGCGTGTACCTTCAACACAATGAATATTTTACATGATTTCACAAGTGAATAACTTTTTTTTTTTATTTACAAGTATACTTACTACTGTACTACTTTACATGTTAAAATCGGTGTGGTTAGGATAAGTAGTTAGTTTGTCATTGTACTGTCGGTCACACATTGTAAGTATGTAGTGTGTGTGTGTTTACATAATTATGACAATTTTCGCATCATCCCCCCCCCGTTTACTCACTCAATTATGAGCTGAATTTATAGACAAACACATTGACACATGCACATACACACACACCTATATTACATAGAGGAACAGACAGACACACATCAATCACACACACATATGTACATCGATTAGTTTTGTATGCATATCCCAAAGCTTAATGACCTTGAAAGATCGACACAGAAACACACATATATACATGCATATATATGTAGAGAGAGTGAGAGAGATAGACAGGCAGACATACATGTAATCTCATTCAATTAAATAATTTGTTTAGTTAGGATTCTTACACTAATATTTATTTTTCTGCTTTATTGGGCGATGTAACCAGCAGCAAAAGCAGCAGCAACCCACGATGATGCTTTTGAAGTTCTCTTGTCTTTTTTAATGCTGTACATCTCTCATCTCTCTAATTCCTTTCTCGAATTGTCGTAGTAGTAGTAGTTTTGTGTGTGTGTGTGTGTGTGTCATTATTGTATAAAAGACATTGTTGAACAGACAAACAATGGACATATTGAATTTGTTTTTTCCTTTTTCAGTGATTTGTTTGTATTCAATTCTTTAAACTTTTTGTTTTTTTCTAAGAAAAAAAGTGTGTGTGTGTGTGCGTGGTGTACTGTCAAAAAATATATATCAATCTTTTAGTTGATTGTAACAAACGAAAAAACGACATGTTCTTTCTTCTTTTTATATGTATATTTTGAGTCTTTATTGTATTGCATTCTGTTTACAGGGGTTACATGCACAGACACCTACACCTACACTGACACACACAAACATAGACACACTTATGAACACAAAGTTTAATTAATCAATCAATATATATTCTGATAATTTGTAAATATTTTTATTATTCAAGTAAAGTGTAATTTTCAGGCGGAGCTATGGAGATTTGTGTTTGTTGCACATTTTTGAAAAATCATCAATCAATCAATCAATCAGTGATTGTTAGACCACCACCATTAGAAGAGACCTGGAAGCACTGAAAGATGGCTGTTTCGTCCCGGTGTGTGTAGGACTCATCAGTGGCAGTGCGCATCCACGACTCATGCTTCACCTCGCAATCATTCGAACCCGGGACCTTCGGTATTGTGAGCGAACGCCTAACACCGTCGGACCACTGGGTCAGCATCTAACGGTGTTAATGTCTAACTCTGATTGATCTAGGGATTTTGCGCTACCTCACCCAGGAGTCGTGGATGAGCACTGCCATTGATCGGAAGTCCCATACCAGGACGAAACGGCCGTCTTTCAGTGTTGCCAGGTTTCTAATGATGTTGACCTAACAATCAGATTGATTGATGATTTCAAATGTGTAAACTGTAATTGGAATCGATCGGATAAGTTAAATTTGAATAAATTGTATTATGCATGGCACTATGATGGAGATCGTTGATTATAACTTCGATTCATCATGAATAAATCATTTTGTTAGACTATCATTAGAAATTTGAAAAAACTAGCAACTATTTCGTCCCGGTGTGTGTAGGACTCATCAGTGGCAGTGCGCATCCACGACTCATGCTTCACCTCGCAGGATTCGAACCCGGGACCTTCGGTCTAGTATGCGAACATGTGTTTATGTCTAACTCTGATCAATCTAAGGATTTTTGCGCAAGCTCACCGATGTAGTTCAACCCTATCAAGCGTAGGCAATAGCTACAGAAGAAAAAACGGGTGAAGTTGCGCGAAACCTCAGATTGACTAGAGTTAGACATTATTACTGACTCACTGGTCCACAGGTTAAGCGTTTAAGTGCGCGACCGTGATCCCTGATATATATATATATATATATATATATATATATATATATATATATATATATATATATATATGCTAGGCGTCTTAATGCCCTAGCCTCGGGGTTGTGTGGGGTCATGAATCCGATAAAGCTGTCTAATGCTTTCCAAAGTTTGCTTGAGCGGAATACACGCCCGATTAAGATAGCTGGCCTAACAATTAAGGACATAACTGAGATACGTGGGTCGTGGAACCGAAACCTTTATAACAGTGTAGATGGCCAGTGTAAAAGTGCCCACCGTTGGGTATCGAATCCAGAGGGTATGTTTCCCTGGATGTATAAGAAAGCGATTCAGATACGCGGACAAACCCTGTCAACTAAGGCGCTACGCGCGAGAGACCGACCCCTTAACTGCCTCGGGGGGTGTAGGAAGGTGGAATCTCTCATCCGCATTTTAAAAAATTGCAATCGTGTCCAGCGATTACGAATCAAGAGACATAACCGAGTACTGTGGAAGCTTGAAGGATCGTTGAGACGTGTAGAATACTCAGTGTTGAGTGAGGCTCTATTCTTAACGGGCGGACATATTTAAAACCCGACCTAATCCCCTAAAAAGCTGATGTGGCGTGGGTTATTGATGGTATTATCTGTGCGGATGACAGACTACGAGCGCCTTGGAACGCCAAGATGAGAAAATACAATACAGCTGAACTGAACGAACGCTACTGCATGCTCGTCAACAAAGTAGGTGGGATAGTGAAGGTGATTCGACACCTTCCAGTAGTAATAACGATGAGAGGAATTATGGATAGCAGATCATCAGAGGCCGGTCTCTTGAGACTAGGCTTACAAAGACATGCGAGCAGACGACTATCGGATCGTCCATCTGTTATGATGTCTACATTAGGTAATAAGAAGAGGTCAAGTGCTGTAATAATAGGGGTGAAACTTCACTTTGCTATTCACTAAGGTCAGTGAAAGGTGGTGCTACTGAAACTTAACGGAAATGACGGATAAGTGACGGTATGTGGAACCTGCGGTTTGCTGTAGCAAATAAACTTATAAGGGGATTAGCTCCAGTGATCCTAAGGCGGCCTCGGGCGATTTGCTCAAGGTTCCTGGTCTATAAGGCGACCGACCCTATGTGGTGGCCCTGAATATTCTAAACCCCCGTTTAGTCTGTTAACTGGAGTCAAGACCCTGGAAACAATAGGGTTTTTTTAATCTCTGAAACATACAGGGATTGACGGTATGGTCACACTCTGTGGGTCCCGACGAGACCCTGATAACAAAAGGTTCGTTCCGAACGCTTAGGATACCATGCCTAGCATGGTCCAGAATAATGGTACTTGTTCATGGTCGCAAGGCTGTGGATGCGGTTTGCCAATCTGAGGGATTAGGACTGAACGCCTCTACGGTCACTACTAACTGATCAAAAGTACAACACATACCACATAACTTTTAAATTATTCTATGCACTTGATTTTATACAAGTTAGTGAATAAATTAACTCCGCATGGAGCCCCTCTAGGGCTACTGTCGGTCACAAGCCCGGATAAAGGAGAAGATACTATTCCAGAAGTATAAGCCAGAGAAATAAATTTAAAAAGAGATAATAAGGTCCAGAGTTCTTGAGAGAAGACAAAGATTGAATGCATATGCGCCATTGCAAATGATTTTTAGACATGTCATTCAAAGTCTCTAACAACCGGTTACAATTAGGGTTAACCTAACAGAGACTGCTGTTCTTCTTCACTTCAGATTTCCTCTGGCCTTTCCAACCTCATTGAGAGTTGGAGGACTTACATCAATTTACCATTCAGGTCGACTGGAGATCGGGGCTGAAGGCCAGTTGAACTGTTCCCCAAAGTATTCCGCCCATCGGTCCAACCTCATGGGTTGACTATGAATCATAGTCTCGTCTCTTTCCAAGATAGTCTCACTAAAAGTCGGATTTCTAATACCAGTGTGGTGAGCGCTACTTATAAGTAGTATATAACGCGAGTGTAAACGTAATGTCTGGCAGCAGAAGATGGGGGAAGATCAAGAAAGGAAGAGTGGGAACAAAATGGAATTTGTATGAAACGCATGAATGGTGAAATGTCAGACAATCGATTGATGATGGATTGAAGATTTGCAAATTAACCGTTTACGATATGGTTTTCCTATTTTACTGAGTAACTCTGTAATTTGCGATAAATACAATTCGGTTGCCCTCACCTGTGTTCTCCTTCACT